GTAACATCTGAAAAACATTTCCTCTCAAGCTGTATGGGAAGGTCAGAGTTGGATTAGTGCTTTTGTGTGTTGCTGCCTGTTGCCGCTGCACTGTGAGAACAGACCTGGGAGACAGTGAAGCAGTATTAGGGAATCAGCCTAGAGGAATGGTCAGGAAATGGGGCTTAGGGACACATGATAAACTCTCTTGCTATATAGTTCTCTGTGATGTGAGGGAAGCTGAGTTCATTGCTGGTGAGTCACATGCAGCTGGAGGATGTGAGTTTGGCTCCATCTATGGGAAGCAGTAAAATACTACAATAGCCCCAGAAACGTGGGAAGCGTCCATTCCAGCTTTTTCAGACAAGAAGATGATGGCCAACCTTCAACTCTTCTCTTAAACCACAGCGTATCTTTATCACTGTACTTTTGAACCGATAAGTTTTTAAACTGTGTTTACTATGGTAAACACCTTCCTACTTATGTGGATCACAGCTTGGAAGCCACAGCCTTAAGTTAATAATTATGTATTCTTTTACAGAAGATACTGTAATTATTAAGCTTGAACTCTGATACAAGTCGGTGAACTTTTTACATGCACCTACCACTTCCCCAAATAATTTATCAGAAATTCTCGTGTTTGGTGTTTGCCAAAAGGACAAAGGATTTGCTTTCCTTTTCTTGTATGTTACTCTTTCTTTGAGCAGCTGAGCACACAAAATCCTCTCTTCTTGAAAAGGACAAACAGGAAGGTGGATTGCTTGGCCAGAAAATCTTACAATAACAGAAAAATGTTGGTGTTTACTAAACTGAAACTGTTGACCCATTTCAAAACAGAAAATCCTTAGTAAGATTAGAAAAGAGGTTGTCTCTAATGCTTTGAACACTGAACTACCTCTGGATGACGTTTATGTCCTCTCCTAACAACTTTCTCAAGAGGTACTTGTACCATGGGGATTATAGGACAATAACTAGTCACTGATGTGCAGGACATGGAAAATAAGTTTAAAACCATTCAAAGAACACAATTCAATTACAAAAATTCCAAACAACTAGCCTCTCTGAAGGCAGGGAATCATGTTGGACATTTCCTTCAGTTGTTCCTTTTTGTTTGTCAGTACTTGATTAAACAAGACTGAGAACATACCATCTCTTCCTAGTTTCACAACACAACCCCAAACTCAACTTTTGCCCTTATAGTTCCCAGAGAGGCTAACATAGCAGGACTGTGGTACTACCCCGGGTGTTTTCACACCCTTCTGCTCTCCATTAGGAGCCCAATCTTCAGTGTCCACAGCCCACTTCTCCTGTGTACTCTAACACACATGCCTGAACTCCAGCACCTGCTTCTACACCCTCCTATTCCTTTCTCTGCCCATCCCTGTCAGGCACACCCTCCTCATCAACCTCTGCCCTGCAGCCTGAGAGGAAAGTGTAGGCTCTGGCTGGAGGCCATATACAGAATTTGAGCTGCTCAAGTAACTGACAGTGCTTGGTCTGGTGGACGACCTCATCCAGCCTGAATGCAGGCAATTATGGTCCAGCAGAAACCATCTACACGCAAGTGCTCTCCAGAGCTGTTGGGGGAGAGGTGCCATAGAGGTGGCTTCCCTTGTTGTCCAGCTCAGTATCTTGCAGGAGCCTGGCCACGGCAGCTGGTGTAAGCCCAGGGCTGGCAATCACCCCTGTCTGGCTAAGTGCTCTGGGAGGAGTTTCCCCAGGGCCCTGGAAAGCCCCGGCACATCTCACTTATGTACACACACACACACACACACACACACACGAGCATCTGCTGCTGTAGCCCATGTAACCACTGGAAAACCTGAGATCTTGCTGTGCTGCTAAGATGTGTGTAACTACTCAGAAGTCAAGTTAGCAGAATTCACGACTTTCACAAACATTAAGCAGGAATAGTTAGCTTTGCCAACCAGGCTCTTTCTCCATCAGATGATTTGTCAATCAGCTTAATGTCAAGACAATAAACATTGTTAGGCATGTTCAGAGTTGTTGGGTCATTAAGGTTTCTTTAATAGCTTATGGTTTTAAGCAGAGTCATCTTTAGATGGATGAACACCATGAAGCCTTTAAGGTTAAGCTTAGCATTGAGACATTTTAAGAACTTTATCTTTAGAAACACTCTCTGGGACACGTTTTAGCTTTGCTCTCTTTTGGAGTTGGTTTTGTGTTTTTTTTCCCTTCCCCAATTCTTCCTGCTTTTCTTTAAGAGACAGGAAATCCGAACGAAAAACTGAATGTAATGCTAAGTCAATGATGGCTGAGACATCAGGTTAGGAAAATCAAATATATCTGTGCAAGATTTCAAGCTTAGTTGTTCATGGTAGGCACCCAAAAGTAACTTGATTTTTTAATTATGCAACTGAGTTCAGAACTGCACTTAAAATACTGCAGCTAGATTGAATTCTGCTGTATTCTGTTATATCACACTGGTGTCTTCTTTGTTCAGTGTAAACCTTCAGCTAACATTAAATCAAATAGAAGTTTTTTAATATACTTGATCTACTGCCTTTACCAATACTGCACACTGTTCTTGCTCATCAGTAAATGAAACGGGAATTTAGTTCATTCATTCTAAGTCTTAAGGAAACTTAAATCTTCTGAAAATAACAAAGAGACCTTCAAAACTAAACCAGAAAGAATAGCTTGCATGTAATACTTGTTCTTAACTTTTCATTATTCCTGGTGAAGACAGAAAGTTTCTATGAGCAAACAGAACTTCTTCTTTCGGTTTTCCCTGCTATATATTTATCAAGGCCTGAAAATACCTTTGGAACTTTAGAAAAACATGCTAGTAGACACCAAAAGCAATCAGTAATATGAAGAGTTCACAAATCAGTAGGGACATTAGCAAACCAGTGAAACAGAAATGTACTTAAATGCTCATCTGTTTGAAGGAAGATACAACCTGGTGAGTAGGACTCTGACTTGTGAAATGGAAATATGGGCATAACTGTAAGCTTTTTGTGGTATCATAGAATCATAGAATAGTTAGGGTTGGAAAGGACCTTAAGATCATCTAGTTCCAACCCCCCTGCCATGGGCAGGGACACCTCACACTAAACCATCTCACCCAAGGCCTCATCCAACCTGGTCTTGAACACTGCCAGGGATGGAGCATCCACAACCTCCCTGGGCAACCCATTCCAGTGCCTCACCACCCTAACAGGAAAGAATTTCCTCCTTATATCCAATCTAAACTTCCCCTGTTTAAGTTTTAACCCGTTACCCCTTGTCCTGTCACTACAGTCCCTAATGAAGAGTCCCTCCCCAGCATGCCCTTGAACGCATCATCTGTTCCCCCTGCTCTGTAAACAGATCTATTAACAAGTCTCCTAAGCAAATGATTTCAAGAACAAGCCATGAATTATTGTTGCTAAAATTGCCAGTGTAAAACAGAAAAACATCCATACTTTCTCATCCACTTGGCACATTTATCTCAGATCCCTGAAGGGCTATTCTTAGAAAACATGGGAGAAAAGGAAGGTAAATATTCCTGACTTGTCATTAAACCTAAAGCTCCCAGAATTATCATCATCCATGGGAACATTTAATGTTTTTTACTTCACTCTTTCACTAAGCTACTTCTGGAGGGCTAACCCTGTCAAACAGCATGGAGAAGCATTACGTTACATCAAGATTTATGTGCGCAGCCAGAGCTGAACTGGATCCCTGGGAATGAAAAGCAAAGAGCTGTAAATGTCAGTATTGGAAACTAGGGCAAGATAGTGGCTGACTGGCAGTAACTAAGTATTTGGTTCTTCTTAACATTCTTGTATCATTAAGCTTCTTGTCATGAATTTCATAGCCTAATTGTACATGGCACAAACATTTTTTCCTAACTACTTCACATAAATTGCTTTGCAGTTATATCATGTCCTCTAATTCTTTTACTACACACGAGAATAAGAAACGGGCAATTATGCCTTCTCTGTACCATTTATTGTTGTACACCTTCCTCGTGCCCCCTTTCCTTTGTTCTGACAGGCAATACTGATTTTTTCAGCTTCACAGTGTGACACAATCCTTCACAGAGCATTGTTACAGCCTCAGTCACGATTTGTGTCTGTAACGTTCCTTTGAGATACAATATGCAGGGGTGAGAATAGCACTGCAGGTAAAAGCACACTATTTAAAATGATATTATAACAGTCTAACTATGATCCTCTGTCATGCTCTTCAGGCATGGCATCATTCCCCTATTTTCTCGACAATCCCACCCCAGTTAACTGACATTTTCATCATGTGCATTTCACCCATTTGCGATTTCTTTTCCCAGCATCATATTAAATAAAGAACAACACACTCCTTCAAGAGAAGCACACCATCTGGCCACACATTTGGAACTTTCAGCTGCTGAAGGGGCAGCTGAAACCTCCAGATCGGTTCAAGCCTCTAAGTTACAGCTCAGGTAGTGACAGCAACATGGCACCCAGCCTCTCTCCACCACCTCTGCAGGGAAACTTCTGTTCCCCCGCTGAGGAGTGCCTACTGGGCCCATCCCAGGCATTAGGGGCCTGGGTGGCACTGGCAGGCATGTCCTGGGGCTGGGAGAGGCAGGACGAAGGAGGCGGCCAGCTCAACACTAAGCTGCCCTCACCTCAGGGCTGCCACGGCGGGCCTTGCCTGGTCCCATGGCGCCATCTCAGCACCTAGGAGCCCTGCCTGCTCACCCGCCAGCACCAGCCAGCTCTTTGCTGTGCAGTTTGGAAAACACTCCCTTATATAATTATACAATATAAGTCCAAAGGTTATATATAAAGCGGTTAAGCGCCACGACAAACCTGCCCCCCAACACACGCGCAGGCTATAAGGGCACCACCGTCCCTTTAAGGGGCAGGACCCTCCTCTACCTCCCCTCGTCGCCTTCCCAAGGGACGCCCCGCTCCCGCCCCTTCACCGATGACATCATTGCTGCGTTCCGATTGGCTGCCGGCCCCTCGGTGCCCGCCCTCCCCCTGCCTCGGGCCCGTTAGCTTCCCCGGGTGCTCGCAGCCCATTGGCCAGCCTCTGTGGCGCTCACCCGCGCTCCTCCGCTCTGATTGGTGGAGGCCGGAGCGTGTCGCCGAAGCAGGGAGGCACGGGGAGGGCGCTTCCGCGGTTGTGAGGCGCCGGTCGGCGGTGGTGAGGCCGGGTGGCAGGCTCGGGGCTAAGCGCGGTCTCGGCGGGTGGCGGCTCCGCCAGCGACGGGCGGGGTCGGAGCGAGATGGAACCGTGACCAGGTGGGTACGGAGCTGCCGGGCGACCTCTGTCGCCACAGGGGCAAAGAAAGAGGGTGTGTGTGGGGGGTGGGCGCGGACCCGCCCCGCAGCCCGGACCTCTCCTCAGCGGCGGGGGCAGCGCGTGCCCCCTCATGCCGCCACACCCCACCTTCCCCTCGTTGTTCTCCCCGCACCGGCGGTCCCGGTGTGAGGCAGGTGGGTGCCCGGCGCGACTGGGCAGCTCAGTTCCTTGGAGCCCCGGCCTGCCCCGAGGGGCCTCCCCTCGCCGGGGCACTACCGCTTTCTCCAGCCGTGGGCCGGCTTCGGCCCCTCTGAAGCCCCCAGGCGTGTTTCTCCTCCGGCCCTGCCTCGGTTTTGCCCCTCCCACCCCCTCTCCCGTCGGCCTCTCCCCGCCTTCTTCACCTGAGAGGGGCTCGGCGCTCCCGGCTCCCCGCTCGTGTCCCGAGAGCCTCGCGTATGGCAGGCCGGCGGTGGGGTTTTGTTCAGGGCTCTCTTTCCGGTTTTACAGGCCTGGTAGTGGCGACAGTAGTTGACAAGGGTTTGTGTAGCAGCAGTATCCTGCCGTACCCACAGGTCCACGCACATCCAAGTGGTATTAAGCAGAGTTAATTTTTCCTACTGAAAAGATGCTTGCCCGTGCTATGGCTAGAGGAATATCTAAAGTAATGTCTGTGTGACCCAGGTGTCTGTGTAGTGAGGACTAGATGTCCCTTTCTGTGGCTGTAAAATCTTGTATTGGAGACGACTGTAATTTCACATAACCCCAGTCAAGGATGAAGACTGACTATTTGCCTTGTGTGCAAATGGAAATACCCTCCTGAGATCTTTATGGTGTGCATCAATGTACGCTTATTCTGCATCATGCAAACTTTATGTTAAAATGGTTCTGTGTGATTCTTAACTAGAGATCCTTGAGTGGGCTGAATAAGGGATTTCATGCTTGCTGCTGCTTATAGCACTTCCTTTCTTGTATTATTTTTGTCCAGACAATATCAGGGCCCCTGTCATGAAACTGCATCTTCGTCTATTGTCAATAGAAAATCCGTTTTGAAAACATTAAAAATGTATAGGCATTGAAAATGTTTTAAAATACTTCTGTTTGTCTGTAGCTTTGTTGCTGGATCATGCCTTTTATTTCTCAATAGGATTTCAAGACACAGCTCTCAATATTTGGAAAACAAAATGTAGCTATTCTGGGCTGAATGTGTCTATCCCAACATCACCAGCAAAGGCATTGAGAAAATTCGGAATGCAATTCTGTCTTTATTGTCAATTTTCGTTTGACATAGCAATGTTAGGGCTAGTTACCATGGTCAAATGGTAACATTTGACATGTTATCATGGCTCAGCTGACTTACTGAAGGTGTGCTCTCTAATTGAGTGTGGCTTTTACTTTCAAAGTATATCTTGCTGCTTGCACAACACCCATCAGTAGGCTTTTGTAAAGGCACCGTTAAAATCCATATGGTAGAACTGTTGGAAGTGTAATGCCTTTAGATCTTCAGAAGTATTTCCAAAAATACTTCAATCATTTCTGAATATGAAAAGAGAGGGACACCCATTTGTTCCCGTTTACTGCAGTGATTAAATGAGTGATCTAATAGTTGTGATTAAATAGAATCTAATAATAGATTTTAAAATAAGAGTATGATCTGGAGCTGACTGTGAACTCCTTTTCTGTTCTTTAGATTTGTGCTTTCTGCTGAAAGGAGAAAGAGGCTCAGGGCTGAAAGCAAATGCCATGAGCTTTTCACAAGGAGGTGAATTTGCCCTTAATTACCAGATACTAACTCAGTGAACCCTTTTCAGTTCTCCCCCGCTTATAATTTAGATACCAAATGTGATTTCACAGAAAAAAGTGAAGAGAGTAAAATATTGCTAATTATAGCTTCTTGAGCATCATATTGTTCTGTACAAAATGTAAATGGTGCTGTGTTTGCTGATTCCAACAACTGTAGAAGCAGCTTTAATTTCTATTTAATTAAGGCAATCCCCTCTAACATCATAGGGGAGAAGATACCCTTCTCCTCCCCCAGTCTTCAGGCAACAAGCAGATCATGAAATAAAATGCAAAGAGAGAGGTTACAGAGATATTTTGCCATAGGACTGAGAGAATATGGATTTTTTCTAAAACCAGTCTTTATATTTTCCTCCTCATGAATGTGAAATAATAAGAAATGCTTGGGTTTGGGAAGGAGTGCTTGCCTGTGACTTTTTTATAACTGGCTTCTGCTGGCATAGTAAAGCAGCAGCATTTTTCACAGACCCTTTCATCCTTGGATCTCCAGGTGAAATACACATTCAGGCAATCAAAATAGTTCTTAATAATAATAATAGAAAGCCCTACTAGATTTCCTTCACTATCGAGCCATGATTACATTATTGTGTGGTATTTGGTGGGGGAAAGGGAGCTGTACTAGATGTAGAGAGGTGGATCAGAGGAAAAAGGGTTTGGATGTTAGAGCAGAAAGCATATAAATTCTTAGAATGTGTTAAAACATTATCACGGGATTAGTTGCTACACTCATTTGGAATGTATGAGATGTCTCCATATATGATTTTTACTTCAAGAACACAATTGATAGCAATTTCAAGTGTCTTCTGTCTTTACACTCTATTCTTCCTGTGTTGTAGATGATACAATTGGGCTGTCTCAATGCCTGTTTACTTACTGATAACTCAGTATTATGATTAAGATCCCTTTTGAAGAGTACAGTTGATTTCCTCTGTGTGAAAAGAGGTAACAAATAGAAAATCTCATTTTAGTTATACAGTGCTCTTCCTTTATTTTTTTTTCTTTTTTTTTTCAAATCAACTGTGTCATGAGGGTCAGTGTCTTTTTCTGAGAAGCTGTTGAAGAGGAAGCAGAAAAAACACAACTGTTCAGTGGTCTGAAACCGTCAAACACCTACTCTGGGAAAGCCGAATCTAATTATTTCCTGCTGTATACATTGCTGAACTGAGGCTGAAAACAGAGGATGTGGTTACACAGACATTTCTTTTAGTGGTAGCCCTGTCTTAAGCAGCTCATATTCCCATCTGCCTTTTTTTTTTTTTTCCCCCTCCACACCACGTGCTGTCACTTCAGTAGCAATGGTGTATCCGTGGGGCTGCATGCTGAGCCAGGTTAAGAGACCTGGTTTTTGATTTGTACATGTTCTGTTCCTCTCCCCCTCAGCCCCCAAAATAAAAGATGGGGGAGGGCCAAAGGAATGCATAGCTGGAGTGGAGGGACTGCAGAAGCGGATTACTCAGAGCTACAGCTAAAAGACAGTTTTGGAACCATGGTTTAAAACTGTTTCTATGATTCTTCTTTTATGTGTGTGTGTCAGATGAAATGGATGTGTTGGTGTGATTTCAGAAACTGGTTCCTTTGTCAAATGCTCTGTTCAGTCCTTCAGGGACATAATGTGTGTGGTTAATGTGTATGTTTTACCTTCCCTTCTTTGAGTGCTTTATGTAGTGCAAACACTGTTAAGTGGCTTCTTCAAGGGAAATGAATGGCATTGGGGTGAAGACAGTTTACATTACCAGGCTTAGGTATGCCACAGTGGTCAGCCAATGCTGTGAGATTTTTTTAAATGCAGGTTGTCCTTGTGGAGGGCATATGGTGCATGTAGCTCATACAGGAATCTGTCATCCGTCTGATACAATGTTTTGAGACATTAAGAATCAATGCTAGTAATAGTATCTCACTTTTCTTTGATTCTTTTCTATTTCTGGTATGAGACACTTTTCACACAGATGAAGTTTTAGAGTTTGCTACTGAGCAAGGTACTATAATTGTTTAATTTAGTTTGGTTTATATTCCAGAAATTGAAGTCATGAATTTAGGTTGTGCAGCATTCCTTTCCCCTTCCCTCCCCCATTTTCTTGTGTGTGTGAAGCATCATTTTTCTTGTGTGAAGAAATATTTTGGATTGAGGCACACAGCCGTATTGATAACATCTCTGTAAGAAGGTGAAATTTAACACACAGTCACAAGTCTTCTTAAATCTTGTAAGCTAAAGGCTGAGCTTTTAATTGGGGATTTTCTTTTGCACCTTAACCTCATGCCATCCATCTACTTTTGCTCTCCTACCACAAACTAGCATGTTGACTACTTCTACTTATCCTTCTTAATTAACTTGTGCTCCCTATTTCAGCTTGGTTTGGCCCTGCTGATCCAGAAAAGCAGGGTTTTTGTACAGTACAGCAGAAGGAGCATGCTAACTGCTGCTGCATGTGCCAGCATGTTATTTGTTAACAGCTGGGCATTGGTGGCTGCCCCTGTGGCACTGAAATAAAAATTCTCCCCTGGACATGGTCAGGAGCGGCTGCTGCTGAAGTCTCTGCTTGCCGTGGGTGCATATTGAAGTGCTTGTGTACCACAGTGCAGGAGCCTCTGGCAGAAAGCAGTGGAGAAAATTCCTATTTTGCCACCTTCTGGTGGGGCAAATAAATGCGCTGGCTACACATCATCTTCAGAGTACTTTCACATTAGGGGAGCAGGAGACTGAAATGATACGTCTAGTTTTGTAAAGCTAATTTTGTTTTGGGATAGGAGTTGACATCACAGATTGTTTCAACCTCAAATTAATACTTCATGTAATACATGGCAATTATGACTAGTTCTAGCCACACTAGGGAAGGTGTGTGTATATACTGTGGTTCCTTGAGTTCTACCCTTTCTGTGGTTTGGCAGAGACACTGAGGATACTTCTTTACTGCACAATTGATCCATACGGTTGACACCCTATTTAGGCTTACTCTGATGAGATCATCCTTTACACGCAGCCATACCCATGTTATGATGAACTCATTCTTTCTGCAACTGTTTAGATGTGTGGAGGTACAGTTTTGAGCAAAGGTGAGACAGGATTCGCTTTGTCAGTTACAGGGAAACTTTTCCTCTTTCAGGAAGAAACTTTTGGAAAAGCATTGAAAGACTCTATTTGAATGATTATTTTAAAAAATATAATTTTTATGGCAATACAAGAAGCTTCCCAACAGAATGTGATTACAGTCTGCATTGTAACTTAATTTCTGTTTCACTGTGTAAGGTGGACCCAAACCTGCGTGCGTGGTTTCTGTGAGTGATTGGTAGGGCCAAGTTAGTGTTAGACCTAATATCATGTCTCTGAATTTGCTCTCATAGGTCCTGTTAGGCATGCTTTACAGGAACTTGGAGTCTGAACCTTTGTCAAGCCTACATCTCGGAGGTAGTATGGCTGTTAGAAAGATGGGATGTGAATTCTTCACTGTGTGTTCAGATCGGACTTGTGAATCATGAGTTTCTGTGTTGTTCAGACATGCTAAAACTCCAAGTCACCAGTGAAGGCTATAAGCCATTGTAATCACTGGAATAGCAGCCATTTGGCTTGAACATGTAAACAATGACATATAAACATTTCCATTGGATGGAGAAGTTTATCAGCAAGATGAGACTTCTGCATTTCTTAGAGATGACGCTATTTTTTTCTTCAGAAAATCTAGGACAGTAGAGTTTTGCCTGCATTGACTATATAGTGAGAGAAAAAAGGAGTGTTGGAGGAATGTTTTGATCGTGCTGTAAGCAAAGAATAACAAAAGTGTTTAACTGTGGAATTTTTCCAGAAAATGTTTCAGTTATGTGATTAATCTTTGCTCACTCGCTGCAATATAGAAGGAGGAGTAAAGAGCTTGTCTTTCATTATAGCTGTAAGGCTAAATCTTTGTAAAGTCTGACTTGTTTTGAAGGTGGGGTGTGTCTGTGTTTTCTGTTGTTCCGTCTTCAAGCTGGATTGAAATTCCATGGAGTGACTGAATAAAGATAATGTTAGAAATACATTTGCAGCATCTCTTGGCTTAATGGCATTTACATTAGGAAAAAAAGTCAATGACTGTCCATGCCCATTGCAGACTAGTTTATCTCCTACTCGGGGTTCAGATGACTAAGCAGTAAATTGCAGGATGTGAGACTTTAACTGCCTGAGATTGAACAGAAACTTCCTTGGCAAATAGGACCAAAAGTTTCAAAGTTTCCCTTTTATTGTCCATAGTATATCAAATAAAACTTCAGTTCTTAGTAGAGGCAGATAAATACATGCAGTCTTAGAGGACAAGTTATGCATGGGAGAACAAGGATGTCTGGACACCTGAGAAGGTAAATGGAAGTGCTGGAAACTCGGGGGAGGTAAATAAACCAAGACAAGGAAGTTAGTGAAATAGTTTGTGCTGTTTTCTGAATGTGTGTTTGCATGTATACATACACACACACACACGCTCTTTTCTGAAGGATAATGGTAAGTTTTTGAAAGATGTCAAAAATCACTGAGTGTCTGCGTGTATCTATATAGATATTTTTAATCTTCATGCGTGCCTTAAAAGGTAAGACTTCAAGGTCCTCTTTATTGTGCCAGGTGAGATGTCTGTCCAGCCTGGTGTGCAGGTAATGAGTGCCTTGGAAGGAATGTAGAACTGAGGTGTACAGAGAGGTTCTTCCCCTTTCTGCTTCGACCTGTCAGCTGATTAGGGATAGCTTGGTATATTCTTCAGATTGAAATACTGAATTCTTGGTTAACTGCTTCCTATCTTTGTGGGAGACTTTCCTTGACTTCTTAAGTTCTTCCTTCTTCTGGGATTTGCAAAGTACGTTGTAAGTATGTACTTGGTGTTGTAGCCTTGCATTATTATAATGTTTTAATTACAGATTATCAGCTTGGCTACTTCGTTAAAGAAAAAATAATTACTTGTTATGGATTCTCATGTGAAATTAAGTGGCTGTAAGTAATTCCAAATATTGACCTGATGACAAATAGTGCAAAAAGGTGGCAATATGACTTCTTGATTCTGTGATAGAGCCTGGAATAATGTGTGCTGACCCATTTTATTCAAAGAAAAATTGAAACATTCTCTGAAAGAGGTCATAAGGGAAGCTTCTAAAGTAGTAGCGTCATAGAATTATAGAATCACAGACTGGCTTTTGTTGGAAAGGACCTTAAGATCATCTAGTTTCAAACCCCTGCCATGGGCAGGGACACCTTCCACTAGACCATGTCACCCAAGGCTCTGTCCGACCTGGCCTTGAACACTGCCAGGGATGGAGCATTTACCACTTAATTCAGCAACCTCTTCCAGTGCCTCACCACCCTCACAGTAAAGAACTTCTTCCTTATATCTAACCTGAACTTCCCCTCTTTAAACCCATTACTCCTTGTCCTATCACTACCGTCCCTGATAAAGAGTCCCTGTCCGTCATCCTTGTAGGCCCCCTTCAGATACTGGAAGGCTGCTGTGAGGTCTCCATGCAGCTTCTCTTCTGCAGGCTGAACAGCCCCAGCTTTCTCAGCCTGTCTTTGTGACCTTTACTTTTTAAAATTTGTGTCAGTATGGTAAATACCTTCTCCTGCAAGTTGTTAAGTGTAGGAGAGTTGACCAAGTAGGTATGCAGTTCATTACCTGTAGCTGCTTTGAAACAGCTTCCTTCTCTTATTTGTTTGGGATCAGGGACCTCTTTCAAATTTTGCAATGCCCCGATTATCCAAGTGTCTAACTGTGGTCTTTCTTTCTTCAGAAGAGACTAATCAGTCTAATTGGTCTTATTCCTTCTGATGCTAAAGTATTAGCTCATTCTATTTTTTTTCCACTCCAGCTATGTTAATGCTTGTGTCCTGAGTCCATCCGTCTGAAGCTTGTATTTCGGGAGGTGCCTGGGTTCTTTTATTGACAAAATACCATAGCATCTCAGCTGCAGTTCTGTGCTTCTGGTGTCTAGGAAACCCTAAAGTCTGAAAATCTTAGAGGAGGAAATAGGATGGAAACACTGTGTTTAAAACCTTCATATGATGATTTGTATTTTTTTTTTAAAGTGGCTAAGGAAGTAGGTGTGAAAGTATGGCAACTACAAATCAGCTTCTCATTGTTTTTATTGCTATTTGCAATAATAGTCTTCTAAAGTCTCCAAAGTAATTATTTTCTAATCAAGTTCTGCTGTGCATGCCTGTTAAAACTGTATTGCCAGAGAAAAGTGGTGTGTTAATTCAGTATGTTTGTGAGTTTGTCTTAAGGTGCTCAAGATGTCCCCCCTTCCATTGCTTTAAAGTGGGATTTCCATTGCAGTCCTGACAAGTGATTTCAGTACAAGGACAGGAAGACTACGTATGTAATTTTGTGGGTATTCTGGCTTAGTAAATCTCAAACAATGCATTCTTCAGAACTGACAAAACAGCAGTCCTAAACTAAAAAGTTCTGCTCTGCAAGTAGCACAGGTATGCGCATACAAGTGTGGCAGCCTTTTCAGTTCAAATTCTGTTGTGTGTGCCAAATGAATGAGATTTGTACGAAAAAAGAATCCTGGATAAAGGACTTTGCTCCTTACTCTTAAAGGAGAAAATAGGTGTGGTGGTTGTTTTATCTTATTTACTTACTTTTTTATTTTAAGATCTCAGTATTTATCCCCTGTTTTCCCTTTCAGTGACTGAGGAGAGAGCTGCTGGCATGGAATTGAGCTGGGTTTGCCCGTGGGAACTGTGAGTAAGGTGTGTATTGTGTTCTCTTTGCTGTCTTTAGTCTGGACCTTTTCTTATGTGCTGAATTGAAAATTGCTTGTGGTCATTAAACATGAGGGGTAGTAGTGTGTTAGAGGTGAAATATTTTGAATTTGTACTAGCATGAGATGTGACAGCTGTCCAGCAAAGACTTTATGGTGTAAGAGTATAAATTACATGCTTGTCCACTTTTCACTGCTGCCTAGCAATGTCAGGCTCGTCACAAGTTAGCTGGTGGTTCTGTGTTACAAACTTTATTCAGTGTTACTGATCCTTGGCTCACTAGACTGATTTATTTAAGTATATAAAGGCAGGCAATTATATCTATACAGTAAAATAATAATGTCTGCAAAACTGTTACTGGGCTTACCATGATATGGCAGCACTCAGAGGATGATACATTCAGATGTTATCTGTGGTCCCAGGCTGAATCTTATAGTAAAGAATAGAAAATGTTTTAATCTATTCTAGCAGCAGAACAAAAGTCTTGGTTTAGATGTCCTTCATGTGCTGCCTTCTAGTACTGTTGCTTTAAAATAAAAAGTATTGAAGGTTGAATTTAGTATCCTTTGAATTGGCAAAGAACAGCACTGTCAATTCTCCCACTCCTTCGCCATGTTCTTTGCCCACATTCATTAGATTTAAATGTTAGGGAGCACTTCTTGAGTACTTAATACTTCTTTTCAATAAACTGGTTAGACAAGACAGTAATATTGATATATACTTCTCCCTGAATCACTGAAAAAAAAAAAAATCTTACCTGTTCTTCAATAGTGTGGATATCCAAGGATGGAAAGTCAGCTCTTGTAGGGGAAAAAGGGAATAGAAGATGTAGTGACTCAGCCTCGGTTGCTGGACTTTCCACTTAAATGAATGTCATGCTTGGTAGCTGCATTAGGAGATGACAATAAATTCAGAGAAATTTGGATTCCATGTCCAGTGTCCATTGATGGGAAGGGTAGGCAAAATCAATTCAAATTAGTTTAATTTATTGTAGACAGATTCTGACCGTTGTGACTGAAGAATGTGACTGGGGTCAGAAAACTTGTTTAATTTTGTTTAAGACTTTTTTTTCACACTGTGCCTAGCATAACTGAAAGCCGTCACTTTTCAGTGGGCCTTGTTCCTCTAGTTTTTGTTTTTGTTTTGTCATGGTTAGGTTTTGTTTTTTTTTTCTGGGGGGGGAGTGGAGGATGAGATCTAATAAACCTGTGGTTGCAGGGTTCAGATTGCTAGCACAGTGGGAAAGGAAGTATGTTTCAAGGTGTAGCATTCCATCAGAACATCAAGCTGAATTGACTTGCTCTGTGGCTGCAGAGCCACTAGATATGAAGAAGTGAAAATTTCAAACTGAGGTGAAGTGATACAATATGGTTATATACTCTCAGTCACAGCCGGTGATCAGACTGAATCATATAAAATGTAAAACTATTTCCTCACACACACAACAGTAAGTTGCAAAAAAAACTTGCTGTAAACTCCTGTAAGATTCTTCAGATCTCCTGTTTTGCCTGCTGCTTTGTGCTGACATGAATGCTTGTGCTGGGAACTGAACTGACTGAAATATGACTACTTTACCTTTGTCTTATTTTTTAATTTTCAAAATTTATTTTCTTTTATTTTAGCCTACATTGGTTCTCTGAGCTATGTTTCCTTGCCCAAGTCACCACTTTGTTATGCCCTAGTAAATCCAGTTCTTGTCCCCAAAGTTCTGCAAAGTTCTGCATTTGGAAGCGTGTTGTTTCTTGTGAGGTCTTATTTCCATTCTCCTCTTGTCCAGTGACTTTCTCGTCCCAATCTGCTCTAAATTTACTTTCAGTATGAGTTCCTTCATACTTTCTCAGCCCCATAGTTTTCCTGACAAGAATTTCCAAGTCAAAGCTCACATCTGGCTGCAGTTCGTCAGTATTCCCTTTTCTAGTTTGCTGCAGCCTCTCTGCTTCCACTGGTTGTTGGCATCCGTTGCCACATGCCTTTGCTGCTGGCTGAATCCATTGCTTCATCTGCTTGCTCCTTTGGGGTGGAGAGGAATGCTTTGCCTCTGACTAGAAGGGAACTTAAAAAAATTCATCGGACAGCAGTTGCAAGGAAGTCAGTCAGAAGTCAGTGTTCTAAACAGTCTGTAGTTCATAATGTGGTTCTTTGGCACCAGTGTGGGCTTAAACAGCTTGTTCCCTTTCACGGCTCCCTGTTTTGCTGGCATAGCTGTTTTGTGGCCATGGTGAGCCACTCTGGGGAACAGATCCTCCTGGAAAGAAGTGGCTTTTTTCTAGATTATTTTTCATCTGTCCAGTACATGTTGTTTCCATAACATTTATGCTAATTTCACAGTGAGGAAGGTATGAGAGTGGGAATGTGTAGCGGACTGCTGAAACTGGCACCACGGCTGGATGTTTAAGTGTGCTCTTTGGCACACTTAAGTCGATTTTGCTTTTAGTGAGCTGCTGTTATAAAGGCTGGTCAAACCTCTACATAGCTGTACACTCCTGCTTCTTCCTTTGCATCAGAGCTAGTGATTGTGCAGGCATAGGGCACAACCAGCTAGCTGACTGATCCAGTAGAAAATAGTTTCTGATCTTTTGCAGAGTTAATCATCTGCTGGTTCAGCTGACCTGAGTCAGACCTTGGGTGCACACTCATTAGATCAGACAAAAGGGAAGCAGCAGGAACGAATAGCTTGGTAGCAGAAGGCTGCATTCCTCTTTTAGTTATGATGTTGAGCTATATCATGACTAAGAACTAAAATATACCAGCATGCCCATTGACACATGAGACCTAGACATCACATCTTTTTTTCTGCTCTCTTTTGTTACTTGAACTTCAGCAGAAATTGTTTTTTAAGGCTCAACATCATCTTAGAAGGACGTTTTCCTCATTTGTGCTTTGAGTTTAAGTAAGAACTTCAGAAACGGGGAGAGTTCATTCTTTTTGAGCAAGGATTGTTTATTATAAATATCATTGTGATTCTTAAAACTATTTTTGGTATTATCAGAGTTCCTTGAGCTTGAAAGACACAAAGTTCCTCCAAATGCATATTGAATCATGAAAAGCATTTCGTAACATCTGGAATGCTAAACTACATTTCTTAGCCTGCTATTTGTGGTTTTAAGAAATTGATGTTTAATGGTGATTTTTCAAGATCTCTTAAAGACTTTCTATCACTGCTGGACTGAGTGAAACAAATGCCAGTGTCTGATGAAGGAAATGCTTAGGGCTTGAGAAATACAGTTCTTGATGCGTGGTTGTTAAAATCATGTCTACAGCTGAAATTATGCAGTGAATTGCCTTGCACTAGGTGTGTTCTTTGAATCTTTTACCTTCTAGTCCTAGCATCTCTCTACAGCTATTCATGCCTTTTGCCTGATAACATTTCTTGCCATTTTCTTGTTGACCTGAGCATGTTTTTTTGACTCTTGTACTGATAGATTTGCTGGAGGTGGTAGAGGAGAGATTTCTGGTGATGATTCAAAGATGTCCTCTTTTACTGTAATGTTACTTGCACATTATACTTTCAGATTCATATCCTTTTGCTCATATAGAAAGTTGTACTTATCCATGTTTTACCAGCATCTTTGTTCATGTGTTGCAATCTTTGCATGTTTTGGCTTTGTAGGGCAGTGGCTTGTGGTCAGGGTAAGTTGGACAGTTTACACCTTCAAATTACTGTTCTGTTTCTAATCCAGAATTAATTTAGTAGCTATTTGACTGCTTTTGCCTTCCCCTCCCTTACTGTGAAAGTGAAGGAAGTTGATGACTGGTTGATTTTGCAGAAAACAATTGCAAGTGGAATTCATGTATTAAAATAAAATTCCCTAACCGAAGACAGTCTCTTTTTAGTGGTCTGCATAGTTTGCTTTCTGAACTTTAAGTGGTTCCTCAAGAACAAGCTATTACACTCGCAGGGTGATGCTTGCCTTGTTGCTTAGTGTATTGTATATACGTTATGGACAGTGTCATCAGTTTAACTCTCAATTAACTGGAGAAGTAATTATAACAACAGCTGTGTGCCTGTGTTAAGCTAACTGACAGGAAACTGAAGTTGTTCAGGTTTTGTTTTTTAATGACATGACCTTGAAGGTGTTCCTGTTGGTGACATTTCTTTTAATACCTAAAGATAAGAGGACTGTCTCTCACTCTAATTGATATAACTTCTCAAGCTAATAAGATGCTTCGGTTGCTAACTTCACTTCTTTTGGGTTATTCTTTTGATTCATGATGACCTGGGGGTTATTGTTGCCTTTGGGCGTGGCATGACATCCTCTTCCTCTCTTCTCACTCATTTCAAAGATTCATCCACTTAAAGCCGTTTTGCCCACAATTGCCTCTTCTCTTGGCTGGATGGTCTCAGCTGGCATGATCATCTAGCAGAAGGCTGCTCTTAAGTTTAAAATAAAAACCTTCTGTCTTCTCAAAATAGCCCAGATGTACACACATGCACTTGCTCTTAGGTGCTGGAGGTTGCTTAGCAATTCTTATATTGGTAGGAAATTGCTATTACCCTGGTAACACAGCCCCAAAATGCAAACAAGGGAAAGCTGTTTATAGAGATGTCCTTGCTTCATTTGGGAATTGTGCTCTTTATTTTTTTTTCTTTCATGTGCCTCTCTGATCTTTACTTACTACTTCTGAATTTCTTTTTTTTTTTTTTTTCTTCCATGTGTTTCACTCTGGTTATTGAGGTTTCATGTTAGGGAAGGTGGTTCCTTGGTTCATTTGGTTCTTTGGTTCATTTAAATACTGACTGTCAAGATTTTGATGAAGCCACAAGCGTGTAAATATTGCCAAAATTGAGAGAAGTCTAATGCATGAAGACTTAGTGCATGTGTTCAAGTCCAACGTGAATGTTTGATTGAACTGTATAACAACACCATGAGGTGACACTGCTACCAAAAGTAGCTATCCTGATTTCTTATTTTATTACCTTGTCTCTCATTTTTCCTTATGCTAGCCCAAGTTTTTTGGGTTGGTGGGCAGCAAGCCAGATCTGAAAGTGACTAATGCAGCTTAAAACTAGTAGTCTGTGTGTGTGGCCAGGTCAGATTTAATACAGATCAGTTTCTTGATCTGGTTCAGCCTTTGTTGGCCCACAGGAGCTGAGGAATGAGAGGCTGGGCTGTTCCTTTTGTTGGCAATGCCAGTTCAGTGTCTAACCAGAGGATGTGGTCTTATGATAAAGCCAAGTTGATCTAAACTTGCTCTTGGCAAGGGGGAGGGCTGGGATGCCTCTGTTGCTTCCTTGTGCCAATGTTGGTGCTTGTCTAGCCTTATGATGGGATGATTAGTTTCCTGCCATTTCACCTTCATTAATCTTAATCCCTTCTCCCCCTCCCAGGTTTCTTTTTACTTTCTTTTTGCTTCTTTTGCTGAGCTAGTTTACTGTGGGTCAGACAGGTTTCAGCACTGCTGTGTCTATTTTGTTTCCCTTTCAACTCTCAGGATTTGAGCTGTCCTTCAGTGATTCTGGATGAGCAGCTTTATAAGCAGTTTCTATAAGTAATTTTGTCATATAGTAAGTGCAAACTAGAATACTTTTTTCAGCAAGGTGTAATGTAATCTGGTTTACTGTTGTATGATGTTGCTATGGCAGGAGGATAAACCTAAAAAGCTACCATGTAGAAGCTGTGGAGTAATTTAACCTTTGTAATGTGCAGGTTTGATAAAGATAATCTTTTTCCAAAAATTCTCATTGGCTGTGGTTCTCAGTCTTCTACCTTGTCCAAAATTGACTCTGCCTTGTTTGTGTATCTGAAATTGAAATCTCTTAAATGCTTCCAGAAATCAGAAAGGGATAATTTATATATTTGAGTTGTCTAATGTCTCTTTTGAGCAGTTCCATCTTCTCCCTAGTGCTGTGGTCCATGCTCGTGTTGTTGTGGCAGTGTTTTAGTGCTTTGTAGCAACATAATTTGGACGCTGAGAGCTCACCGTTGCCTCTACGTTTGGTGGCACAGCTGTATGTGTAGATAGGGCCTAGGACTGGGGAACTGATTTTGCTGAATACCCAGGAAAGATGACTGTCTTCAGCTAAATTGATTCCCCAGTGAAAGATGGGGCAGTGTAGTGATAGAACTGAGTGGCTGGACAGTGGAGGACTTGAGGATTGCTTAAGCTGATGTTGCTGCTGTAGAACATCTGTGGGATCACAGCCACTCTTGTCCTGGAAGCAGCTGGGCCAAAAGTAGAAAAATGCCGTGATAGAAAGCTGCTGTCTGGTTAGGCAACAAACAAATTTTATTACAAATCCTGAGGGCACTCACCCTGAAGCCCTTATTGAGGTTAAGGAATACTTGTTCTTAATACTGTACATTAGCTTTTGGATGAGTCACTTGAAGACTGTGTGGCACGTTTCTTTATGGGAAAATTTCTAGTCTGTTCAGAAATGGCAGGAAAACAAACGTATTAAAATTTTAATTGGGTTCTAAATATTAATGCCTGTAGCTAACTGATTGATCATTCTACAATGACAGTTATAGAGTGGTGTAACTGTCTGGGAAGTCTAAAAACAGCCTTACTGTTGGTTGCGGGAAAGGATTCCCTGGCTTTCGCAGGACTTCTATATAATGTAGCATGGATGATTACAAATCCTCAAAGCATCTTATAAATCCTTCTATGTCTTCATCAGACTTTTAATTGAAAACAAAAATCAAACTCACCCAATTGTAGCTTTTATTGTAGTCCTGTGCACTGGATGCCTGTTTTTTAAAGTGGGGATATGTTGCATGCTGAGATTTGGCATTGCTCTGAAAAAAGTTCTCTTTCCCTTAGGCAGAGCTTAGATGTTTGAATGTACTCATGGTGGAAGTCAGTTCTTTCCTCTGTGCTGTGCTGGCACAAGCACTGTTAGTGTGTAGCTGCATGGCAAACTGTAACAGGGTCCTGGTATACCTGTAGTGTGAACCAGAAAACTGACTTTTACACTTGGATCATTTTTATCCTGTGTCACTGCAGATTCTTGTGCTGGCCTGAAATGGGAGGGGATGTGGAGGAAGGAGAAGACAAAGTGGTGTGCATGCACTGATTTCTTGCTCTGTTTTATGCTGTAGCTTGCTACTGTACTTTTACAGAAAGGGTGTAGTTTCAGTGGCCTGGCTAATGTGAATATAGCTAAATTAGGGAAATAGATTCTGTTTTACAACATGGGTGTTAAAATGGTGTTTGAAATGTCATTTTCCTAGTTTATACAGATTACAAATTCCTGTTTAAAAGAAAATCCAGTATGTTAGAAGTTCCTAAGTACATTTGCTGTTTACCTTGTTGAAGCAGATCTTACATAGTTGAGACATGTCAAGCTTTTTCCTCCCCCTCTTGAAAGGGGAAGGAACTCTTTCTTTCCTTGGGTAGACTGAGAAAAGTAGGTTGAGTCTCCTGCCATACCAAATCCCTGCAGGGTCTGTCACTTCTGGATTTGGGCCTGGCTGCGCTTGTCCTCCTGCATGAGCTAACCGAACCATCATGTGGTACTAGGCAAAGTGTAATAATATCTGCAGTACATCTCTTCTGATAAAGTAGATAGAGGCTTTGGCTCCTCTAAGATGGTGACAGCCAGCCTCCTAACTGAGCAATTACTCTTCCTTTCAGCCCCTTTCCACAGGTCTCCCATCCTACAGGGCAGGGCCTGAGGTCAATTCTATTGGTTATCATTTAACTCCTTCCAGCCTTTGCAAAGATTATGACCGTTTACCACACTCTGTTATTCTAAGTCTGTGATTTAAAGGTGTGTATTTCCAGACATTCTGTATCCATTATAAAGAGAAGGGCAGAATCACAATTTCTTTCTCTTTGCAGATTACCATTAAAATTTGCTCTCAAATGGATATGACTGGTGTTTGCTTTGGACAGGGAATATGTCAAGGAAGGGGTAGGCGCTTTCTAGCCAAATTGTAGCAAATACTTCATATGACAGTAAGGTTTGGCTCTGTCTCATTTGTTTTTTTGTAACAAGCACCAGCTTCAGTTGGTGGTTTTTGTTGTTTTCTTTTGTTCCATCCACTCTTCTTTTCCTTGCTTCTCTTCAGATCATGACATAAGGTCCTGGGAATGAATGTATGACAACATGGATGAAATAGTGCATATTCATTACCAGTAAATACTTACTGTTGCTTGAATATACACTGAACAAATTTTTGAACAAATGTATTACCACTTACAACTTTGTTCTGAGTATCACAGAGCAAACATGAGTAATCAGCAGAAGTATGAAACTGAAATGGAAGTGGAGAAGCTGACTATTAGAGCTACTTTATCAGCTATTAATGTGTCAATATTGTCACACTCAAGTTAATAATGAGTGTTAAATGGTGAATACTTAATAAACAACTATTTTCAAAACTTCCTTTGGGTTTATGCCTTCTAATTGATTTCTGAAGGATTATCCTGATGGTTTTTACTTTGCTTCTCTGCAGTTTGCTTTGCTTGCATCTTTTTGAAGCTGAAAGCTAGCCTCTGGAAATACCTTCTGCTTGGCAAATTACCACAGTGCAGCAGTTATGTAGTGGTAGTCTTCTGAGTTTTAAGTGGTTGAAACAGCAGCATATTAAGAAGCAGGAGACTTCCATCTTCATTAATCAAACCCAAGTATGATTTGTCCTTGGTATAATGTCTGTTACTGTTTAAATGTTGACACAAAAACCATTTCACCAAACTTCCAGCTGGTTTGTTTCTGTTTAAGTTACTGAAGGGAAAGGACTTTTAATTTTAACATAGTTGTGGCTTTTAAATACTTATTTTAAGAATTATGGAAATATGAAACATTTAAAAATTGTGTATTTCAGTAAGACCTTTTATATAGTGCAGATTTTGGTTACTGTAGCTGAGGTTTTAAACAGGAAAGCTTTTCTTGTTTATGTGAGAATTTTTCTTGCATTCATTTTCACTAATAGTGAATGGAGAAAATAGACCAAGATAATGATTTTTTTTTCTTTTTTTTTTTAATTCAGTGCAATTAATTTTACTTGGAAATCCTCATTTGTTGTACTCAGCTGTCCTTCCAGGTTTATTATGAAGGATTACTTTATCTGACTGGATTTCATATTGATGGTTGTCCTGTTAAAACACTACTGTTGGTATAAAAAGACAGTAATCAAGAGTTCAGCAAGGTTCTAGATAGGCTGACTTCACTGGAACAACTTAATCTCTGTCTTCTCATGACTGGGTTCCTCAAGTACAAAAAGTTGAGAATGTTCTCCTACTTATCTGTAGTTTCATCAGCAGTTTCTGTGGTGATGCTGTTGGAGGTTTATGCTGACTTTATCAAGTTTCAGTCAGTAGTTGGCTTTGAATTGATGATGATAACACAAATGCTCTGCTAAAGAACATGTCTCTCCAGAATACGGAGATGCCATCATGAACTGGACATATGGGTTAAGACTGACGTGAGATTTATTGTTTGGTTTTTATCTGGTTTGTCTCTCAGGTTGCCATCACGAAAGCCAAAGTGGATTTCTCCGGTGTGGTGTGCCTGCCCCCTTCCGTCATTGCTGGAAATGGGCTGGACGGAGGAGGGGCTGGCGAAAATGATGATGAGCCGGTGCTGGTGTCGCTTTCGGCGGCCCCCAGCCCTCAGAGCGAAGCTGTTGCCAATGAGCTGCAGGAGCTCTCCTTGCAGCCCGAGCTGACCCTCAGCCTCCATCATGGCCGAAACCCCAACCTCCCTCCACTCAGTGAAAGGAAGAATGGTAAGTGGTACAGTGCACTCATGTCTCATGAAGCATATCCTCACCAAGAAAGTACTGTGTTGTCATTGTATGTGGTCTCATGACAGGCCTGTTTCTTGTTGCTTCTTGCAATGTTCTATTTGCATGAAGAGCTGCATGATCATCCAGAGTTGACAAAAATGATTTACATTGTTCAATGGGAAAGACTGATGTTACAGGCTGTGGAAGTTCCAGAGAGCTACAGTGATAAATGCTTTTGATTATTGTTTTAGTTTAGCACCAGCCACAATTTCCATGTGCTTTGTGGTGACTAGAAGTTGTATAAAGCTGAGACAGAAAGTCAAAGAAAGTGTTAGCTCATCTTCAGACTATAACCATCTGTAGATTTTAATTTGCCCCTTTGGTCTGAATTTACCAAGGGTAACTTCCTCACTGCGAATGTCTGAAAGATTCTGTCAGATTTGTCAGAAGGAGCCACAAGATCTAGTGTTAAAAATGAAATATCCCGGTAGGCCTTCTAATCCTAGAGTGAGAATGACCTGCCTATGTTTCTGAAGCTCTGGACAACTTATGGTATGAATCCCTCTAACCATTTGGTGGGTAACAGAGGGGTGCCGAAGTATAGGGTCATTTGGTGACCAGAATTCCAGGTTTTGGAAAGATGTAAACTATCTGAAGCTCATAGTTGCCAGGCTGCCATGAAAGCCTTTGCATTTTCAACCCCATCCTGTGACAGACTGAAACCATTGGATAACTGGTGGCTTCTGTTCATGACTTCCTCATGGGGATCTCCCGTCACCCACTGGGGTATATGTTGTGGGCTGTTCGCAGTATGAAGGTCTTGCTACAGTCTGAATTCTTGCTAGGAGCTTTACCTGCAAAATACTATGAATTAAACCATGGTTAAGTCCTGGGTGCCTTGTAGTGTTGGGTATTATATGTTGCATTTAATGCATTACATAGAGTTGCATGGCCCAGCATGCTGGAAATGCTGGTGAGGTTTGTAGTGGCTTTATAGCCAGAACATAATGCTTAGGGTAAAGTCATTTAGAGTATGTGAAATGCAGGATAGTAATTTGGATTGGAGTGATACCTCACTTGACATGCCATTCTTTACTTCCAGAAATTGAGCGTGCCCTTCTCCGAACAGTGTATCAGTGTTTTCCTGGTTGGAAGAATTAATTAACTTCAAACACAAATACGTTTTTTTAAGAGGATAAAAAGAGTTTCTCTGTTCATATACATTCTACCATCATTAGGTGATTACAGTCATGTTTACAGGCCTTAAAAATGGAGAAGCTATAAACTGTAAAAACAGAACAAAAAGCTTCTGATCCTTAATGTTTGCAGTCCTCTAAGTATAAGAGAGAACAGATAGAGCTAAAGGCGGTGTTGATAAATAAAAGAGAACAAATTGGAATATTAGTCAGCATGGTAGACTGTGATCTGAACACACCTCAGCTAGCGGCAGACTTGGGCATTTTATAGTTATAAAGGCAAGGAGAGATTTCAAATTAAATTTAACCAAGGTAATTTGGAAATTTGTAGAGGGCTTGAAGGCAACATGGGAAGAGCATAGGAGCCTTTGTTTCCAAAACCTGACAGCTGGCCACCTGAAGGTGACATTGGGATTTTACTGGAGGCAGGGTTCTTCTCTTTTAGTGAGTAAGATGTGATTAAGGGTCCCTAATTGAGAAGCAGCAGTTTATCCTTGATGCCACAGTGAAAGTGATACTAGGGCTGGGAATGGGTAAGAGCACCTTCTTAGGGAAATGAAACTTGTAGCCTCAACTTTGAAGTGGCTACTTTGAAGAAGGACAAAGCAGTATTGTTATGGTCAGAGGAAAGGATACTCAGAATTAAAGTCTTTATATGATTCAGTTGTTTGGATAGGTTTAAAAATTGGCATCTTAGGGATATTGTACAGAAATAGATAGTTTTTCATTATCAGAATAATGTTATTATGGACTCAACCTTGAAGCTGTATCACTGTGGGCTACAAATCTTCTTGACTGGAACAGGTAAAATAGAGTGGGGCTTAAAAAATATTTGGAAAGGAATACTTCTGCCCGTGCCTTTTGCCAAAGAAAATTAGGATATTCCCGGAAATGACTCATTAGGTGGGTCTCTTCAGAGCTGATTCTTTATCAGGGCTTGGCACAATAGTGGGAATTTTACTGCTGGAGGTGCAGCTTTTCAGACAAGGCACTAAGTCCAAACTCCCTGATCTAGACTACTAAACAGTCCTTATCTTCAGAGGTATACAATGGCCTTTTCTCCTAGGCTGCAGTATGTTGTTACGTGTTGTTTGTGTGTACATTCATTAAAATATTGTGGGACTGAAAAGTACCGTTGAAATACGGTTATCTGTAAAGTGTTACAGCACAAAAGGAGACTTGGTTCATTGAGCTGATGAGAAACAAAGCTGGTGCATTTTGAATATATGGGAATGTTTCAGTTATCTTGGGGTAGAGGTTGTATGGCTGTTGAAAGCTGCTGAGCTTGTTAAAGCTCCTTTTAAAAATGTGGTATATCTTTGTTGTTGTGCCTTTGGTGTATGTTAAAAAACCTTTAGAGATGATCTGCCAGTTCAGATGGCAATTTGCTTAAACATTTGATCAGTCTAAATTGGTTGTAGGAGCGTATTTTGAGTATTGAAACTGCTTCTGTGGCAAATTGCCAAATTCAAGGTGTGAGGAAGATTGAAGCCGAGTGGCAGTGAGAGGGAAGGAGATGGTAAATAAGAGACTTGCTGGAAGCTGCCTATCTGTGTCAAAGGGTCTCCTCTTTGCAGTTCTAGACAGGCATTGCTGACTCACAGCTCGAATAACTACTTAGGCTGAGTGATTCTAACAGGTTAACCCTTTGTGTAACGTTTGCTTGCAGAAGACTTTGTCTGTAGATGCCTGTAGAAAAACATTACATGGCTTTGTACTGAGTTTGTACTTCAGACCATGGTTCTGGAATGTAAACTGCTAGCAGAGTTAAAATAGAAATCTGTTTGGCATGTGAAGCATCATGGAATTCTGTATCCCATGGGAGAAGTGGAAGTGCAGGCCTGTATGCATATGCTGCCATGTGTCCTAGGACAGTGAATTCCTTTTTCTTTTTTTTTTTTTTTCCCTGCACTTAGAGAACTGAAGAGCAGCAAGAGACAAGGTTTTCTTGGTGTTTTTTTTTCTTTCTCCCCCCCTGACCCAGATTCCTCTTCATATTCTTCTCCATTATAGGTACAACTTGTTAGGCGTGTGTACCAACAAAGATTGGTACCCCTAGAGATGGGCTTAAAGACCTTAAACATCTCGACTGAATAGTTGTTATTAAGTTACACTAAATTAAAGTGCAATAAAAGCTGTCATGTGTGGAGTATTGGAACATAATAGATAGGAAACAATTCCCTGTCATTTCAGTGGAAGGAAACCTTATGTGGTAAGGTGATAGTAAAATATTTTGACACAATTATTAGGTTCTATTCAGACATCAAGCTTGATGGAACACTGAAGATGTAGTTATTTGATTTGTCTTTGTGCATCCCAGTGAATTTTCTATCCAAAATTCGTATCCTTTCTCTTTTATTTTAATCCACGTTCATCAAGACCTCAACTTTCTTTAAGTGAGAGAGATTACCTGTGACTGACTCATTCGTTGCCACATAAGGCAAAAAAAAAAAAAAAAAAAAAGTCATTGCAAAGTCATCTGAAGCTCTTCAAGTGTATCTTGATTGTTCTCTGTCAGTTATATTAAGATGCCAAGATAACTTTTCCTAACCCGTAGGGCAGGGTTAGAGCAAGTCCCTGATAAATGTAGTTACAAAAAAAGGGGAAACCAAGTGAAAAAACAATACACATCTTATGCAGATTGATAATTTCTGATCAAAACTAACCTTCTGTTTAACCTTCATTTGAAGTTACGATAATTGATCCTTTAGCTTATTGACCTTCTCTCTTGACCCAGGAAAACCCAGGTGAATTCATAGTTACCTTTGTTCAGAGGTCATGAAAAACACTGTGTTAGAAGCCTAGAGCAGTCCCGGTTTCTTCTTACTTTAGGCTCATTTAAGATCAGGTGACATTCTTTCAAATAAATTGTTGCATTTTATGATTACAGGTTTGGGCAAAACTTGTACTAGCTTGTCAGTTGGGGTTTACTTGATCTGAAGTGAAGTACTATATGTGCTGGGGGGAAGGAGACTAATTGGAATGTGTGGAATTTCAGTATGACTTGAAGTCATGTTAGAGGTATGTGCTTTGCGTATCAGAAGGTACTCCTGTTAATGTAAAGACTGAGTACTGTATGAAGCATGATATTCATTGTTGCCACATAAGCTGTTGGTGATTATACTGACTTACAAATTGCAGAGCTGATCTTTTGAAATGTTTCTAAGGAGCTAATGTAGTGCCTATGTTCCTGTGCCCATTTACTGTTAAAAGTCAGTAATGGTATTTTAAATATTTAGTTGGGCATATAATTGTATTTTAAAGAACTCTGTAGGTTATTGCTTCTGTAGTTCTTTTTTTGGGTTATACATTACTATCTCCCTCCCTTTCTTTCCCTTTTCCATCCTGGATTGTCATTACATTGAATGCAGTCAGATTCAGGATTTATTTCAAGTATAGCTTATTACAGAAGCTTTGCAGATTCTAGAGTTGCCCACTTGCTACTGTGAGTTTAAAAGCATTGGTAATGTTTTCTTAAAATCATGTCATAAACTGTCCTTTAAAAAAGTGACTTATGAACTCATTTAAGATGTTAGGCGTGTTTGTGTATCAACAAGGGTAGTATTTTGTTCCCTGTAAACTGTTTTAAAGGACGCATTCCTGTGTAACATTATCTAGGTGTTCCTGCTCCGGCAGGGGGATTGGACTAGATGATCTTTCGAGGTCCCTTCCAATCTCTA